AAAGTAGGCCCAGATTTGGGTCCAAATGGGCACAAAGAGACAAAATAGACTGAGATTTGGCTCCAAAGAGGATTGAATATGTAAAGTAGGCCCAGATTTGGGTCCAAAAAGGCCCAAACACAATAGTAGGCCGAGATTTGGGCCAGAACAGGCCCAAAATACGTCCAGATTTGGGTCCAAATATGCCCCAAATGGCAAAATACACTGAGATTTGGATCCAAACCAGCCCAAATTGGTAAAGTAGGCCCCAATTTGTGTCTAAACAGGCCCAAATAAGTAAAGCAGGCCCCGATTTGGGTCTAAACCGTCCAAGAGTGACAAAGTAGCCCCAGATTTGGTCCAAACAGGACATAATAGGAAAAACAGACTGAGATTGGGGTCCAAACAGGCCCGGATTAGTAAAGTAGGCCAAGATTTGGGTCCAAAGATGCCTGAATGGGTACCTTAGGCCCAGATTAAGGTCCAAGCAGGCCTGAACTGGGGAAGTAAGAACCGATTTGCATCCAAACGGGTCCCAGGAGGCAAAATAGACCGAGACACCCGACGTGTCTTCTCCATGAGCGACCAAGCAAGGCCAGGGATTTTGGGTGGTGGCCCCTTCTGGCTGGTGCCTCTGTGAGCACCAGCACTTTTGGCACAGAAGTAGGAGCCCGTGTCTTCGGTCTTCAGGCCGTTCAGCTGCAGCGTGACCGTGTCTGGGCCTTGTCCCTGGAGATGGTGGCGCGGCCCTTGACCGACGGCGCGTAACTGGTGTAACTACCATTGTAGCTAATCCTTGCCACAAATTCCAGGCCCTTCCCAGGGGCCTGTCTCACCCAATCCATCTCGTAGCTGCTGAAGGTGAAGCCTGAGGCCTTGCAGAGGAGCTTCACGGCCCCCCCGGGGCGGAAGAGGCACCTCCAGACTCCACCAGCTGCACGGCCGCCATCATCCCTGTGGGGAAGAGGAAGGAGAAGGTTGAGTCCTGCTGGCCTGGAGGCATCTCCACCATCTCCAGGACCTTGGCTCCACCATCCTCAACCGTGCAAGTTGATGTTTTAAGGCAAAAGATTTCAATTTGAGGGCAAAAACCCTATTTTTGTGGGAAAAAAAAAATCAATTTTAGGCAGGAAATGTCAAGTTTAGGGCAAAAATATTGATTTTCTGGCCAAAAATGTGTATTTTGAGGCAAAAATTATCCCTTTTAGGGTGAAAATGTTGATTTTAGAGCAAATTGTTTAAGATGTGGGGCAAGTGTCCTGTTTGGGGGCAAAAATAGTCAAGAGGTGGGGTAAAAGTTTTGGGGCAAAACCGGCTCAAAGAGGCCAAGTAGGCCCAGATCTTTGTCCAGATCTTTGTCCAGACTGGCTCAGAGAGGCAAAATTGACTGAGATTTGGGTCCAAACAGGCCTGAATAAGTAAAGTAGGCCCAGATTTTAATGAAAAGTGGCACAAAGAGCCAAAGTAGGCCCAGATTTGCATCCAAACAGGCCCAAAGAGGCAAAGTAGGCCCAGATTTGGGTCCAAACAGGCTCCAAGTGGCAAAATAGGCCCTGATTTGGGTCCAAAAAGACTCAGATACACTAAGCAGGACCAGATTTGGGTCAAAACAGGCCCAAAAATACCCAGTAGGTCCAGATTAGGGTCCAAAGAGCCACAAAAAGGTGAAATACACTGAGATTTGTGTCCCAATAGGCCTGAAAATATAAATAAGACCTAGATATCAATATTTTTGCCCTCAAATTGACACTTTCATCCTAAAAATGAATAATTTACCCTCAAAACACATTTTTTTACCCTAAAATATTTTTTTTGCCTCAAATCAACATTTTGTACCCTAATTTTTTTTTTTTTGCCTCAAAATAGATTTTTTTTCCTGAAAAACACAAAATTTGCCTTCAAGATGATATTTTTTTCCCCAAAATAGACATTTCTGACCTTAAATCAATATTTTTACCCTCAAAACCAACATCTTTTGGTAAATCATTCTTTTTGGGTGTAAAATCGATATTTTTAGCCCTAAAATCCATATTTTTTACCTCAAAATCTACATTCTTTCCCCGAGTCACCACTTTTAGCCCTAAAATCAACAGTTTGGCCCTAAAACAAACATTTTTGCCTCCAAACCAACATTTTGGGCCCTCAAATCACCTCCAACCCGCCGTTTTCCCACCAAAACTCCCCCCTGAGGCCGCCATTCCCAGCCCTCAGCCACCATTTTGACCCCCCAAAAATGGAGGGGTCACCTCCCCCATTAAACCCGGCCAAACATTGGGGTGAAAAAGCCCCAATGGGTCAGTTTGGGAGGTTGGGGAGAGAAGGACTCACCGGAGGAGACGGTGACGATGGTTCCTGCGCCCCACGAGTCAATCCAACCAGCAAATGGTTGAGGTTTGGGGCAACTGGTGCCGGGGTTGGTGCCAGCAGCATTACCAGTATCACCAGCACCACAACAACCACTACCAGCATATTTGGCACAGAAGTAGGAGCCCGTGTCTTGGGTCTTCAGGCCGTTCAGCTGCAGCGTGACCGTGTCTGGGCCTTGTCCCTGGAGATGGTGGCGCGGCCCTTGACTGACGGCGCGTAGTAGGTGTAACTACCATCATAGTCAATCCCTGCCACCCATTCCAGGCCCCTCCCAGGGGCCTGTCTCATCCAGAACATGTTGGAGCTGGAGCCCCAGCCCCTGTGGAGCTGCTGGAGATGGTGGAGATGCCTCCAGGCCAGCAGGACTCAACCCTCTCCTTCCTCTTCCCCACAGGGATGATGGCGGCCGTGCAGCTGGTGGAGTCTGGAGGTGCCTCTTCCGCCCCGGGGGGGCCGTGAAGCTCCTCTGCAAGGCCTCAGGCTTCACCTTCAGTGACTACGGGATGGGATGGATGAGACAGGCCCCTGGGAAGGGCCTGGAATTCCTGTCAAGGATTAGCAGTGGTGGTGGTACCACCAGCTACGCGCCGTCGGTCAAGGGCCGCGCCACCATCTCCAGGGACAAGGCCCAGACACGGTCACGCTGCA